CTGGTACAAACGTAATTGAAATTTTTAAATTATAAAAATTATGAATTTTCCTAAATTTTTAATGGGAATCATGAAATCCATTAAGTAATTATCATATACTATCCCCTTCTAAGATTTAATTTAAACTTAGAAGTCATAAATTTTTCAAAATGTTGTATGGGGACTAGAAAGTCCAATAACGCCATGTAGAAACATTCCAGTAAGATGTTATTCTTCTATTGCTGATGCCGATTTATGCTGTCTTGATCAGCACGCAGACCAGCCCTATTCTGGTACCTTACATTTTTTCAGTGCGAGACTACCTTTGCATTCAGCACACGAGGGTGCAAAAGACAATTTTTTTCCTAGGTTCAGCTTTTGTAATAGATGTAGGTATCATAAACTAAATATAGTATAGAAAAAAATATTTATTTATACTACATTTCGAATTTTAAGACAAATTTCTATATGAATAGTATGTACCGACTTTAAATTGCATTAATCCTACCCTAGGGAACAATTATGACGTTGTCAGGTACACTAATTTCCATCCCCTGGTAGAACAGCGGTAAGTTTATGGACTTACAACGTTAAACCCAGGGTTCGATTCCCTGCAGTGGATACAGAAGATAACCCAATATGATTTAGCTCTAAAACATAGAATACTGAGGCACTAACTTCTTATTGTTAAAAGTAGTATCCCTCTAACTAGAAGATAGGCAGAAAATGTGTTGTAGAGTTATCGTGAATTGTTACTTGACTGAATCGAAGAAAGAGACAGGACACAAATATTACAATGAAACAACAACACAGTTTAATGAAAATTACAAAATTAAATTAATGGATGTGCTTGTTATATGCCGATATATAGTATGTTTCTACCTCGTTTCAGTAATAGAGGAATTTTTTACATATTTTCACTTATCTTTTTTTTCTGAGCAATCGTAGCATAAGCATGTAGTTCAAAAAACCATTGAAGTTTTCTTGTTCTAGGTAATTTGTTTCTTTCTTCTCTATAAAAAATAATGTCTATTCTGCCAAAGGTGATATTGAGTAACATAGCGTATCCATGTTGAAAAGGTCTCCAACTGTTTTATCTTCTGCTAGTCAAATGATTGATGTCTGTTTGTTTGAGCTAGTGAATACTGTAAGAGAACAAGTGTCATGAGATGACACTGTGAACTGAAAAAACAAACCGAGTTTATCTGTTGAATTCAAGTGTACTTTTTGCTCCAGTTCTATCAGAATATCTTCAAGCAAAACCATATTTGGGATAATCATATTGTTACGTATCTGCTTGTTTGTTAATTTCCGATATAAATTCTTCCACTGCTTCCACAAGCATCGGGCTTTCTTGGGAATGTTCTTTTATTTTACCCCAAATTATCTTCTCTGACATAGGGAGTATTGTAATTGACTTAAGTGCTGTGACGTGCAAATCAACAGATGCAACAACACTTACCGGAATTTGACCTTTGTTGTTCCCAAACATCATTTTATCAAAGTTAACTACACACTTTCTCGGTAGTAAGTCGTCCAACCCTAATATGCATTGGTCTTCAATGTCAGCCAAGTATACTTTGTGTCTGTCCTTTATGCCCATGAACTCAAAAGTTACCCACACTGGTCCCCACAACCTTGCATAATGTCTTGTCCCACCACAGAGCTTCTGTGTGGCTTCTGGTACTCCTTTGTGATTCAGCACCTTCATATTCACAAGGGTTTGCTGAGATGCCGAATCTATGACAAAGTTGCACTTTTGGCCATCCAGCTTTCCCGTCACGTAGACACTATGTGTGCTTGCCATTTTACACTTAGCTGTTGGGATTTACACGTATGGGTTTGGTGGGCGTCCCTCAGCACCAACCACTACTGGTTTCCCGAAGGCTGGCTTATTGGTAGTATTCTTCTTACACTAGCTCTTCATATGTCCTTGTTCTCCACAGCTCCAACAACCTTTCGGGGTAGCAGCCTTTCCTGCTGTGGCATCTTTCCTGTGTTGAAAGGACTGAAGATGTCTGCATTAGGGTTTAGCTGCAGGGTCTGGAAAGAGCTTCCTGTTGTCTGAGCTGATTAGGTCCATGGTTAATATATCCTCCC